AGAAAATCACTCAAGAAAATCACACCGAGGATGAAAAGACCCCTGTGAGAAAGAAGTCTACTAAGAAAATCACTCAAGAAAATCATGCTGAGGAGGATAAGGCCCCTGTGAGAGAGAATTCTAGGAAGAAGCTTAAGTCTGGAAAGAAAAGTCTGGCTGCTAGCCGTGCAAAACCTTCTTTTCCTGCTAAGAAAAGGGTTCAAGTGCCACAAGATATTCTTTCAGAAACTCCAATTAGGGATTTGAAGTCAGGCTCTATTAGTAGAATTAACAATGAGGTAACAAAAGAGGCTTCAACCAAGGGAAATGAAATGGAAATTCTAAGTAAGAAAAGTGATCATGTGAAAGAACCATTCTTTTGGCTAAGAGAGGAGCAAGAAGGTGAAATGTTAAGTGGACGCACTAATGAGGATCAAATTATGGAGGGTTCAACCCCAGTTCCTCCTTCATTCAGTGATCTTAAAGATGCTGACGATGAAAGCCCTACAAAACAAGCTCCATCAGTAAGTACATGTCTCTTAACAAAGTATTTACTAATTATAACTTATGAGAAAAGTCATTTGGAATTTAGACCATTCATTATAATATGTTTAATGTTAGCTGTTTTTTGGACTTAAAATTGAATATTATTATTGAGAAAAGCGAACGTTGTTGAAGTCATTTTACTTCGAATTTGGTTTTATTGAGAATGATATATTTTTTGCAGAGTTGAAACTTGGCTTGATAGGAAATACATGCTGGTTAAATTGTTTTAGCTTTGGATTAAGTTAGAGCATTAATAATTTTTGTTGCAATTGTTCTGCAGGATGAGGTGCAAAATAAGCCACCTGTTAATTTATTTGATAGTGAGATGTTTGAATGGACGCAAAAGCCATGCTCCCCTGAATTATTTTCAACTCCCACCAAAATGCTGGTAGTGAGAATTGCATCTGCATGTTTTTTATACATGATTTAGTTTGTTGCCCATAACCTAGTCATTGAAGTTAAAATAAGTTGTATGTTTACTGCAGGTTGAGGATGTTGTTGAGATTGATGAAATTGATGAGGAATTAGTGGCAGCAACTCAAGAGCATCAGTCAAGTGCCAATGCTTACAGTACACAATTTGCAAATCCAAACGGTACTCAATTGGCTAATACATTACCACCAAGCATGTCCTCTCAAATTAAAAGTTCTGATGATCCAAATGGAAAAAAGAAGTCTACAAAGAGAAACATGAAGGCTAGAGAAAAATATAGGCAAGACCATATAAGAGAACTAAATCGCCAAAGTGATGTTATGAACATGGATTCAAATATAACATCGAAAGCTGTTGAGGAGCAATTGTTGGACCACAAAAACAAAGCTTCTAACCTGAAAAAGTCTAGTGGAAGGGCCAAGAGAGTGTGTTTCGTTACTAGTGCAGATTCAACATCTCAAAGTGCTTGCACAGTCTCCAATATATTAGGAGTTCAAGATAATGATGTAAGGAAGATGGCTAAGAATTCCTATGCTTCAGCATCTAAACAAGACAATGAGATGCTATGTCCTAAGAAGATTGCTGGAAAAAGTCAGGTGAAAAGATCTGGAAAACAAAAGGTAGATGCTGTGCATGCCCCACCTGAAGATTTATCTTCAGTGCAAAACCCATTCAAAGAGCTTGCTGGGTTGGCTTCATCCAGTTTAAGTCCACAGATGGATAATAATAGAAACACTGCCAAGACTAGAAAAAGAAAAAACAGTTTGTCCACAAAATCTACTCCTTGCAGTTCAGAAAGGAAGAATGCTAAAAAGTCAAAGCCTTCCCCTGAACTTATCTCTAGGACTAAAGATGATAAAGAAATTAAGCCAAATACTCAGAAAGTTACTGATGTTGGGGCACTGAATGATTCTTTGAAAGAGAAACAATGTCATTTGACAGATCAACCAGCTTTAAGGAAATGTGTGAGTCATGCCAAAAAGTATGAGTGTGCTTTCTGTCTCTCATCAGAAGAATCAGAGGTAAAATTATCTGCTTGTTAATCTTGTAATCATTATTAATGAAGTGCAAGTTACGTTATGTGATTTCAAATACAGGCTTCTGGAACTATTGTGCACTATTTTGATGGCAAGCCTGTCACTGCTGATTATGAAGGAGGATCCAAAGTCATACATTGTCACAAGAATTGCACAGAATGGTATTGGATTTTTGTATGAGTAATGTAATTAAAGTTGATTTGGATAAATACCGCTGATTATCCTTCTAATAACTATATAGTTGTCTACAATTGATTTAGTCCAGTTGGTTTTTGTAACTTGTTATATTTTCAATTTGGACTAATAAGTATGTATTTTACACATGCTTCAGGGCCCCAAATGTATATTTTGAAGATGATAATGCAAGAAATCTCGAAGCTGAAATAAGTAGAAGTCGGCGAATCAAATGCAGTTTTTGTGGACTTAAAGGAGCTGCACTTGGTTGTTATGAGAAAAGTTGTCGCAAGAGCTTTCATGTTACTTGTGCCAAGTTGACTCCTGAATGTCGATGGGATATGGTACATGATAAAATCAAAATGCATTTAAAACATGATGGTTAATGCCTCTATTTTTTATAACAGACGTCTAATCTAATCTAATCTAACCAAATTGTACTTATTTTATTCTTCAGGAAAATTTTGTCATGTTATGCCCTCTACATGCTCCCTCCAAGTTACCATATGAAAGTTCGGGATCTCATCACAGGAGCAAGACACTTGCAGCTACAAAAGCTAAAAGCTGTACCGTCAAACTTGACACTACAAGCCAGAGTCGAATTGCTCATGGATCCCATAAGAAAATTGTGCTGTGTTGTTCAGCTCTATCTGTACAGGAGAGGGTAAAATAATTGCATATCATATCTGTTCAGAAATTTCATTGTTAAAAAGTAATTTATTTATTACTTATTTATGTGACACTGTAGGATGTTGTTTCTGAATTTGAAAAAGTGTCCAAGGTTACAGTTTCAAAAACCTGGGATTCTAGTGTTACCCATGTAATAGCATCAACTGATGAAAACGGTGCATGCAGAAGGACTCTCAAAGTATTATTGGGTATTCTAGAGGGAAAGTGGATTCTTAGCATTGAGTGTAAGTTCAGTTTTTAATTTTTATTTATTTATTTGTTATTATTTGTTTCCTACTTAACTGTATCATAAAGAAAATCATAGTAACTGTCAAATAATTTCTCATTTTTTCCCCTTTTTGATTTCCCTAAGCAGGGATCAAAGCTTGCATAAAAGAAGCTGGACCTGTTGATGAGGACTGTTATGAAGTTAATGTTGACATCCATGGAATTAAGGATGGTCCCTGTCTTGGCCGACTAAGAGTATTGAACAAGGTTAGAGATATTTCGTAATTTCCATGCTTAGAATAGTTGTTTTTGTTCTTCAATAAAGTGGTTGTAAAGTGAAAGAAATTGAAACAGTAACACACCCCTTCTATTTTCTACCATGCCTTTTTTTTTGCCTTGGTTTTAATCGCCATGGCTTATTTTCATAAACTTTCTCCAAATTTGTATCTTGTACAGGCCATTCTTATTATGTATTAGCTGACCCATAATATATCTGCAATGCATACTGAAAGATTACATGATAACTTTTCTCGCGTATAAAATAAGATGCAAGTAGCTGAACATGAAAGTGTATTATATACTTTGACTTAAAGGAAGCATGGAAAGCGAACAGCAAGATTTTTTGGAAATAGCTGCCTATATTTATTTACTATATTCGTTATAAACTAGATAGGGATGCATATCAATTCTACTAAGCTAGAACATCTGCAGTCTATTTCAATAAATACTTTGTTTGCAATCTAATGAACTTGTGATTTTTGTTGATAAAATTTCTTATGCAGCAACCAAAGCTTTTTGATGGCTACAAGTTCTATTTCATTGGAGATTTCATTCCATCATACAAGGGCTATCTGCAAGATCTAGTTATTGCCGCTGGAGGGATAATTCTGCACAGAAAACCTGTATCAGGTGACCAAAATACAATGCGTCCACAGCTTACCCTCATAATCTACAATCTTGAGCTTCCTGCTAATTGCAATCCTTTGGATAAGGATGCAATTTTTAGCCAAAGGCGACGTGGTGCAGAAGTTCTGGCAAGATCTACTGATTCAATGGTTGCAAGTAATACATGGATTATGAACTCCATTGCTGGCTGCAAGCTGCAAAGCCTTGTTTAATGAATTAATTGTCATTCACATGCACATGATTCCAAATCAGTGTTTTCCTTTTCTTTATTTATAAACGTATATGCAGAGACCCATAATATACCTTTTTAAAGACTATATTTAATAAATTAGTTTGTCAGCAATTCTCTATTTTACTAATGGTTCTTAAACAAGGCTTGTTATAAATGTTCAGAAAATACAAGTCAGATTCGTTTAGTTTTCATTAGTAAAATAATTAAAGACAGGTGTGATGATGAGAGGGTAATTCATTTTTGAAATAATTAAAATGAGTAGGTTAGATTTCTTAAACCTGTTCTTGTCATGGTGCCATTTTCTACTCATCCTAGTCCTATCTTTTCACTTGTTCTTTTTCATGTGTTTTTGTTATTCTATATCGAATTTCACATTTCATGTCATGTTCTCATGTTTTTTTTTGTTTGAATATAAAAATGAATTCCTTGTAAATACTATATATACTTCAGATCGAGAGGAACAAGATTTCAATATATGACATGCACACATAGAGGACAAGAATCTGCTTTATAAAACAAGTCTTACACCATTAGAAACCTAATTTCAGATAAGTGGACATCCCTATTCATTTCTGACCATTATTCTATGGTCAAGATTTTTGGCCAATGACTCCCTTTCTGCTCATGGTCTAAAGAGTATGCTATCTAGACAGTGAAAATAGACAAAGTGGGCTACAAGTGAATAATGGCATGCTGTACAAGAATGATGCTTTCATAGTGTCCATTATCTTCTCCTGTAAACCACGCTTCTTACCTTTGCCTCTTCCACTCACAGATTGAGCTTTTGGCTAAACATATTAAGTTTTCATCTGTGTAAGTTTTGGTATTTTCATGCTAAGAGATTCAAGCATATTCTCTAAAACTGATAGTTCCTCTCTGACATCACTTGTCTCTAGAGTATCTTTTACCATTTGTTCCTTGAAGCCATGAATCCTGTTAATGCCTGATTGAACTTCAAACCCCATTTGCTCAATTGTAGCATGCATTTCCCCTTTTTCATCTTGCATATCTTTTACTTTCCTCTTCAAAGACCTGTAACCATCAATGGATTTTAGGAGTTGTTCAGAAAGAGCCTTGGTACGCTCTTGAAGGACTATGTTCCCTTCCATTTCAACTCCACTATTACCCTTCTTTTCCTTCTGCTCGGCGCTACAAGCATGCAACTTTCCCATCAACATGTCATTCTGAGCTTTTAGATCCCCGATAAGCTCCTCGAGTTCTGTCAATTCTTGAGCCTTCCTAGCAAGTTCAGAAGCCATGATTTGCTTTTCTTTTCCCAAACTTGAACACATCGCTTGAAGACTCTGTCTCGCCACCAAGCTTGCGTTTAGCTCTTTCTTTAGTCTCTCTTTGTCATCTGCAGGCACGTCAGGAGCTTTTTTGTCCTTCGGAATGTTTGGCCTAAGGTCAGTGTTACACCTCCTAAGTTCAGCTCTTTTCTTGGTAGAAGTTTGAACTTTTTGAACCCTTGTCCTAACCTCATCTAAGAGAAACATCATACCATTCACCCTATGAAACTTCCTCTCATCGTTTTCCTTCGTGGTTGCCCCATTATGATCTTGAATTAGTTTCAACAATAATCTAACATTTGTAGCAAGGCCTAATTGCAAAAAGAAAGAAAATCATTAAAGATGATTCATCAATCACATATATATTGCCTAACAACTTGGTATGTTTGATTAACTTTGATAATTTTGATTCTAAGATGATGGAAGACTCTCAATGAAAGACTCTCACATCAGACAATATATATGACATCAACATGTACTTATAAGGGGAGCAATCTTTACTCTACAATATGGTTTGGTAGGGTTGAGTTAGGTACAACCACATTTCTTAACATAATATTTAAGATCTGGTGGACCACCTGCTATAAGTTGTCTGCTATTTATTTTTACGCTCTAAATGTCCATTAATGACCGTGAGGGATGTGTTAAAAGTCCCACATAAAAAAATACAAGAGATTACCTTCCATACCAAGTTCTGGCTGTCCGTTGCTATTTGGAGTTAATTGGGGAGATGAAAATGCCCGGACATGATCCATCCTATGTCCACAATTGATGAGATTTCAAGAGGGAGAATCAATAATGATAAAAGATATGATAATAAAGATGAGTATAGTTTTATTTATTTGTTTTTTGTGAATTTACAATGTTAAATGTATGAGAGATCCAAGAAGAGAGAACTACTTTTGTAGTCTTTCTTCTATTTCTTCTCTCTCTTTGAAAAAAGTTGATGTTTATGTTTCTAAAATTCTAATATATTATTGTGTATTGTGAGGTTAGTTCTAAGAGAGAGAAAATTTTATGTTTTTGTTCTGAATTTCTAATATAGTATTGTGTATTGTGAGGTTAGTTCGAATGGAAGATAAAATGGTTTAAGGTTGATGCGCAATTATTGGTTAGAGTTTGACTTTTTAATGGTTGATGCGAAATTAAGGCTCTAAATAAATAAGTAAATCATCTTTATTATAGAAGATTTTTTCTACCAAATATATGTTAAAAAAAGATAAATTCTCATACATTGTCCCTCTAATTGAGCCACATATTCAAGTTGTGTGGCTCTTAATTTTCATTGTTAAGATTAGTAATTTAAGGTTTGGAATATGAGATATTTACTTTTGATTTTGGATAGTATTAATTTTCTATAAATTTCTCAATTTTTTCTCAAATAGATTAGCGGTTTGAATTCTACGTTTTTAAAGATGAATGAAATATCGTAAATTTGAATTCATATTTATATATACAACTACAAATTGAACTAACTTCGGGAAAATCTTCTCAATTTTTAACCAAAAAAAAGTTGATATACAAGGCCATGTTTTGGTTAATATACTTGCTTGGCTTGTTGTTGATATTCATACCTACTATATCTAATCCAAAATGCCTAAGTACGTGGCATATTGATTATGAATAACTAGGTTGAAAAAGAGAGATATGCTAAGCACATAGCTTATAATGAAGAGAAAGTGGCTTAGCATTACACATAATATTTACTCATTTTTTTTAGCTAAAATCACTCGTATAATATATCCATGCATGCATGTTGATTTAAGCGCGATCAACGGCCTACACACCGCCTCAGTATTTGGAGAAGACTTTTAAAATACAGTTTACTAAAGGCAGATCTTGACCTAACTTCAACCTCCTATTGCATACTTATATTTTCTTTTCATTTGTAACTTTTTAAACCTTTTAATAATATAGTATGAAAATACTTTTTGATAGCAAAATTTTTCAAATGAGGTGAATAATAACATTCATAATCTTACGTGATATATCGATCATGTTTAATGGTACATATAAGCTTGGTTAACAACATAAAAATTAATTTATATTTTATAATTTAATGTCGTAAAATGGTTTATATTATTATTTTATTGATCAACTAATTAAAAACTCATACATTCACACGAGTATGAATATTATTAAAATTGAAAAAAACAAGAATTCTAAAAGATTTTGAAATAATAAATTTTTTATTCTCTAAATTTTTATCAATTAAAAAACATTTGTTCAAACTCTTGGAGAAATATACACTAGCATAACAATTAAGATATTGACGGCTTATAACAAAATCTATATGATTGTTATACAATCAGAAAGACTTTGGATTTAGACGACATTCTGCTCAATGAAATAGGTCCGAACCTCTTGAGAAGTCTGAGGCACTTGAGAAGAGAGAATAATTTGAAATTTAGGAGGAATCTCTTCAGAGATATCAAGAGATACTAAGACAACGATAAAGCTTGAAGACTTAGACTTATTTCCTGATCCTCCTTCTTCAACAAGACTCTTATCTCAGTCCCGCTTGTTAATGTCATAGGGTGGAATAAGTTGACAATTGTGGGGCCTCTTGCTACGTATTTCGTCTCTGTCATAGGTAGCTGGTTAGTTCTGAGAGACATGCGATTTTTAATAGCAACACTAATGGCAGAAGGTTGGCCCACCGTTGGCTCTATCGAAGTAGTGATTGGATGAGGCAGAGGGGTCAGGGGAACATCACCCACCCCTGACATTCTTCATGTCTAAGAGACTACTGATAGACGCCATAAACTTTCCAAAAGATCAAAATGATTAATAAATATTCAAGAAATACAAAAAGTAAGCATAAAGTAAATATCATCTCCTCACCAAAAAAGTTCCTTTCTCTCCTTAGTATCAACAACTTTCAAGATATAACCCGAGTATTAACGAGCCAGCTCTGGTACATAAAAGTTAAAGAGTTCTTCGTTTGATGTCACCTCTTCTAGAGTCAAATTTACAATAGAGATTACATAGTTATGTGATTCCCAATTAAAGTGATTTGAGGCCCAATATTTATGAATCTTCCTTTTGCACTTGGAAGACGAAGAAGTAGAGATACCAACAAGAGTAGGTTATCCACGAGGAACTCTATACACTACTAAAAAAAAGATATTTGAGAAAAGGTTTTTACATCGGGTATCAAAATAGGTGATGTAAAAAATACAGTTAACAAACTTTTTACATCAGGTATTTATTTCCAATGATATAAAAAATAAGGGAAAAATTTTTTTTCGTCACCTATTACATCGGGTAATCTCATCCACCGATGTAAAAGATTTCCAGAAAAAAAACACGGTGGCATTTTTGTAAATAAGAAACAAGGTGACAAAAAAGTTAAAAAAAATATAAGAAAGCTATTACATCGGTCTAAAGACAAACCGATGTAAAAAATGATTCTTTGAATTAATATATAAATTATATTGAAAATTAATAAAAACGTGGAAAAAAAAAAAACATATTAAATCGGTGGAAGTTCCCACCGATGTAAAAGCCTAAGCATTATTTAAAAAAAAAAACCTATTATATCGGTGAAATATTCCACCGATGTAAAAGCCTAAGCATTATTTAAAATAAAAAAAAACTATTAAATCAGTGGAAATATCCCACCGATGTAAAATCCTAAGAATTATTTTAAAAAAAAAAAAAAACCTATTACTCCCTCACAATCTGCTTCAACGAACAACCCACCTCAACCTTCTAAACCTAGTCTCTATTCCCTCTTCATCCCTTCGCCATTCCTTTTCGGCCACCACCCAACTCGTACCCACACTCCATTACTCCCTCTTTTCAAACCGAACTTGTTACTCGGTGATACCTTCCTCCGTTCGACCATCCCTCCCCACCGAACAACACCACCGTGAACCATCCGAGAAACCCTCATGTTCACAACACACTTCTTTCATTTTGCAACTGAATAACCCATACAACTTTCGTCAAACCTCATAAACCCACTTCTTTTGTTCAATACTCCTTCTGACGCTATTCCTCTAGCCTGCCCTCTTCTCTTATCAGGTACACTGTCTCACTGGTTGAATAGAATTTCTCTTGAATGTTCTGTTGTTATGTATGATTAAAAAGGTCATCAAGCTTTTTATCCTTCATGATTATGCTCACTCATGCTGTGATTTGATTACTTTACATTCATATCCATTACAACACCTCTGTTATTGATTTAAGAGGTGCAAACTCATTTAATTGAAAACATCCCCATTGTGTTAGAGGAAAGGCCAAATTATCCATTGAATTTCAAGAGTAATTTTACAAATGTTCATATCAATAGTGATTCTTAATGTTGCTGCAGAGGATGAGTGGCCAATGTTTTAAATAACGACCGAGTCGCGTAAAGATCTTTGCAATTTCGGTCGGTACAAATGTTATAACTGTGATTGCGTCGTCGCGGTATGAATTAATCACAATTTATTTTTTATCTTAAAAATAGTGAATAATAGTATCAATATCGACACCTTTCAATACAGTTTTGTCGCCGCCGTTTTCGCATTTACGAATTGTTTTTAAAATCTTCTTCTCCTGAGTTTGGATTTGAACTTGTATGTCTTCTATTATGACATAAATTAGTTAGAAATAAATGATTAATTATATCAATAACTAGGAGAACATTGTGAGAAATGCTTTAAAAAAGTTGATCCTTGATAATGTGTTTTCTGTTATATTGCAGTTTCTTTTAGGGGATATTATCATATATTTTGCATTTGACTTTCAAGGATATATAATTTTGAAAGAATGAATTCAACTATTTAATTGTTACTTTCTTTGACTTTTAAAGCAGTACCTCAAAGAATATCAGACATTTGCAATACTGCTCGCTACTGGACAAAAAGTTTTGCCAAGACATCATCTCATAAGGTAACAAACTTGATTCATTTACTTTTTGGAATGTGGATGCATATAATTAAGTATATTATAATTGGAATTTAGAATGGCATCACAACTTAATCATAGGCAATACATTGGTCACCATGTATGGGAAGTTTGGATTGATGGCTGAAGCACAAAAAGTGTGCAAAGTTATGCCGGAGAGAGATGTGGTAACATGGAATGCACTGATAGGTGGCCATGCTGATAACACAGATCCAAATGCGGCACTCGAATCATTCAACTTATTGAGAAGAGAAGGTTTGCTTTCGAACTACATTACTATTGTCAATCTTCTCGGCGCTTGTTTGTCTCCTGATTATCTTTTGAAACACGGAATGCCAATCCATGCACATATAGTTGTGGCAGGATTTGAATTAAATACGTACGTCCAAAGCTCCCTAATTACAATGTATGCCCAGTGTGGTAATCTTAATGCAAGTAACTTTATTTTTGATGTATTAGCTAATAAAAATTCTAGTACTTGGAATGCCATTCTTTCTGCAAATGCTCATTATGGGCCTGGTGAGGAAGCTCTAAAATTTATTGCAAGGATGAGAAATGACGGAGTTGATTTAGATCAGTTTAGCTTCTCTGTAGCTCTTGCTACTATTGGTAACTTGACAGTACTGGATGAGGGTCAGCAGCTTCACAGCTGGATTATTAAACTTGGGTTCGAGTCAAATGAATATGTTTTAAATGCTACAATGGATATGTATGGAAAATGTGGAGAAATCGATGATGTATTTAAAATCCTTCCCCTACCAAAAAGTAGGTCACAGAGGTCTTGGAACATTTTAATATCAGCATTGGCCAGACATGGTTTTTTCCGCCAGGCTACAAAGGCCTTTCAAGAGATGCTTGA